GGGGCTGGGGAGGGAAGATGGAGGGGAGCGAGACGGGAGGCGCATGGGTGGGGACGGGGCTGGGGAGGGAAGATGGAGGAGACGGGAGGCGCATGGGTGGGGACGGGGCTGGGGAGGGAAGATGGAGGGAGGGAAGATGGAGGGGAGCGAGACGGGAGGCGCATGGGTGGAGACGGGGCTGCGACAGCGCAGGCGCATAGGCGCATGGGTGGGGCTGGGGCGGGTGGGGACGAGACTGGGGAGGGAAGATGGAGGGCAGCGAGACGGGAGCCCGCAAGCATCACAAGCATCATTGCAGGCTGCTCTGGGGCAGTGCAAAAGTAGAACGAAGCATGGGTGGGGGTAGTGCTGCTCCATGCTTCGCGGAGGCACGTGGAGCGGTGTTGCGGGGCTTAGGTATGGTCTTGGGTGTCCAAAATGTGCACAATGCCTACGACAGGCAATGTTGCGTTGAGCACATGGTCGCATCACAAGCGTCATGGTAGGCCGCTCCGGGTCAGTGCACAAGTAGAACGAAGCATGGGTGGGGGTAGTGCTGGTCCATGCTTCGCGGACGTGTGTTGGGTGGTGAGTGGAGCTGTGCCGCGGGGCTGATACGATGGGGTTGGGTGTCCAAAATGTGCACAGTACATGCGCCAGACAGTCAAGGCATGGCCGACACGGGAGGGGCGTTATGTGCCACAAGCGCAACGTGGGAAATTGTACGGTTGGAACGAACCTTGGAGGGGGCCGATACTGCTCCAGGCTTCCTGGAACGGTTGTCAGAAGCCATGTTGCAATGTTATTGGAGACTAGCTGCAGATTGAAAACAACCAGTTGATATATATTATATATATACACCTAGAATCCGTTTGACACCTTTTTTGACAGGAAAAGGCCATATTTGGGATAGTTGACCCTCCAAAACAGGGGTCACTCAGGTTCCAGGTATATGATACATCCAAAAGCCAACCCGACGAAAGACGGAACTGCCACGCGCCCAACGCCACACGTGGCCCAAACTGGGCATCTGTCGGAGACCGTGCGGCGCAGAGTCGGACGGAGCCCTAGAAGTACGCCAGGGGCTGGGGAGGGAAGATGGAGGGGAGCGAGACGGGAGGCGATGGGGCTGGGGATGGAAGATGGTGCATGGGTGGAGGGGAGCGCGACGGAAGGCGCGTGGGTGGGACGGGAGGCGCGTGGGGTCGGGGCTGGGAGGGAAGATGGAGGGGAGCGAGACGGGGGGCGCATGAAGATGGAGGGGAGCGAGACGGGAGGCGCATGGGTGGGAGGGAAGAAGGAAGGGAGTGGGAGGCGCACATGGGTGTGGACGGGGCTGGGGAGGGAAGATGGAGGGGAGTTGGCTTGGGTGTGGACGGGGCTGGGGAGTGCATGGGTGTGGACGCTTGCGCGGCTGATATGCCAGTTACGAGGACATGGTTGCACCGCAAGCATCATTGCAGGCTGCTCCGGGTCAGTGCACAAGTAGAACGAAGCATGGGTGGGGGTAGTGCTGCTCCATGCTTCGCGGAAGCACGTTGGGAGGTGAGTGGAGCTGCGGGGCTTATACGATGGTCTTGGGTGTCCAAAAAGTGCGCAATGCACGCGACAGACGGTCAAGTCGTGGCTGAAACGGCAGGATTGTTGCGTCGAGCACATGGTTGCACCACCAGCATCATTGCAGGCTGCTCCGGGTCAGTGCACAAGTAGAACGAAGCATGGGTGGGGGTAGTGCTGCTCCATGCTTCGCGGAAGCCCGTTGGGAGGTGAGTGGAGCTGTGTTGCACCAGAACCGCGATGCTTGAAATATCATAGTTGCCACGAAGCCTGGAGGGGGCTGATGCTTCGTTTTGGCCTGCTAATTTGTGTTTGTTTATTTTTCCTGGGTTGTGCGCTTCTTTTTGCTTTTGGGTCCGCGGGCTCACCTTGTTTTTTAAAATATGTTTTATTAATCGATATTCTACATTAGGAGACCTGTAGTAGACCACTTTCAAGCAAGTTGGATAACAGCATTACCATTGAGATTGACGTGGCTCAAAAAAGAAGACCCTGGCCCTGGCACCCGCGCGTTTTACTAATTGTCATGTTGTCCATTTACCAGGGCTGTTGGGTGACCTTATTTTTCAGCCATGGTCATATGTCTTATGTTGAGGCAAACCAGATTCTTCCACTTTGACCTGCGAACGACAAAGCTCTACAGTAATTAGTTGTTCTAGAGAGAATGCATCGGCCCCCAAGTAGACATAGACCAGTGGTCAGGAATAGCCTGGATGAAGAGGAACCTGAACTTAGAGCTCTTGTCATCTTTCTCCTGAGGCATTCATCACGCCTTTACTGGCACAGGGTCCATTGCATTGGCCTGTGCAGCGCAGGCCCGTGACTTACTTACGTCTTCAGTTTGGTTCCAATCTTACGTGTCTTCGTGAACAGAAACACGCTTGACTCTGGCAGTCCACTGACAATCCAAACAGGGACTCATTGTGCTCGTTTTTCTCTACGCGAGTCGTGCGGGAGTCTTCCAGCGGCGACGTTCGGTTCAGACTCCGTGTCGTGCTGCTGTCGCACACCCAGGTCGTCGGGAGCGTTCCATATCGTTGTATCCCAGAGGCTCGAAGGTCTCAACAAATCCGCATTGGTCACCCTGGTGGTGTTCCTTGGTTGCAAAAAGCCTATCAATTTTCGTACTCGAACAAGCAGCGGTGTCATCAGTATATTCAGTTTGAGAGTGAACATATCACAATTAGTGTCACAACTGTGTATATAAATGGCTTATGATGGCTTATGACTGTTGAACAAGACCATGGCTGACTACAATCTTTGCACCTCCTTGGGTGTGTCTCAAACATCAGCTTCCATGCTCTACCTGGCTTTCCTGACTACATCACCACGGGAGCAATGACCATGACTTCCTGACACCCATTGACGCACGAGTACACCCCACTCGCAACTAATGAGAGGGACCGATAATTGGGCCCTGTGTCAATGTGTCGATGACCAGGTCATTGAAGTACGCGCAGATGTACATGAAGGGCCACAGGGCTGGCATGCTTCTGGCGCAGGCTTTGACCGCACCGCCAGGCAGGAGGGTCTACGGCGAACGGCGAACGAAGCAAATTGAACTTACCCTGGATAGGCAGAAGACGCCGCAAATCGTGGTGTTGGCTGGGTTTGAGAGTTTGTATCATTGAAGATCTGTAGTGATCCTAGCGGCTAGCGAGTTTGCCAATCATGATGCGTTTTGTTCGAGTGAAGTGAGTTGCACGAGGTGTGGAAGAGGTGAAACCTAGACCAGCCGCGATGGTGTTGCTCATTAAGGCTTAAAGTGGACTATACAGTTAGTTGAAAGGGCATTGACAAAGATCTGCTCGTACACACTTGGCACGGCTGTCCATTGGATCAGATGTGCAGAGGTACCTGATGCGTGGAGATGTGTTCATTCCTCTTCCAGAGCGAGCTCCATGATGGTCCAGTTGCCTTTGCAGAAGTCAAAGCAACAGGACTCGGCCACCGACACCGAGATCTCTTGAAGTGCCGATATCTTTGGCAGTGACCTCGGCCGTGCCACCGTGTCTATCGCATTGTGCCCGCGAGCCATGTCGGTCTACAGCAGGTCCAAAGCGTCCTTGCTCCTTGTAAGTACGGCCAGGAGCTACTGGTAGCGTTCTTGTTCCTAGTAGCGATGCCCTTTGCTCCTAGTAGCGTCCTTGCTCCTAGTAGTAAGGCCAGGAGCCCCTAGTAGCGTTCTTCTTCCTAATCTTCCTTAGATGACCCCGTTCGTAATCCAAGTGTACTTTCCATGTCCATGGTCTAAGAGAGCGGTATGTCATGTCCAAAGGTGACATTGTCTTTGCACCCTGCGGGACAAAAGGTCCGAACGGTTTTTTTGATTGCACCGTTTGCATCACAGGTGCAACTTGCCCGGAGAAAACCATCACCGTGTTCTCCGAACAAAGGACATTCAAAAGACTACACTACACTCCTTGAAATCATTACAAGGACGCTACTAGGGGCTCCTGGCATCTCTACTAGGAGCAAAGGGCATCGCTACTAGGAACAAGGACGCTACTAGGGGCTCCAAAAGACTAGACTCCTTGAAATCATTATCTTGAATGACCACATTTCTTTTGCAAACAGGTGGTGAACTCCAGTTCCATGATTATTTCAGGGAGTGTCTCCGATGCTTCGATGTACTTGTTGGACGGTCTAAGACAACGTTATTTTTTGGTAAAGACCGTGGTAACAATGGTGGGCGACCGGAAACCTATAGGTTTCCAAAACCGACTGTTCAAACACCCTTCGTGCAGACCGTGGCCGCAAGGTCCTTTGGCCGCAAAGCTTCGTGCAGACCTTGGTGCCGCCGAGAAGAGCTGGGGGACGCGGCTCGTGGAACAGGGGGCCCCTCAATGATTGCCCCTAAAAAGGCCTAGACCACTCGCATAAGTGCCCAAGACTTGACATACCTGGACCATCCTGTTTTGGTGTCCTGTCTCGAGATCTAATTCTGTCCCTAAGTAGTGGCTTCGGGTTTACCTTCTAAAGGAATTTGCTGCTGGAAGTCGGTGACTTGGGTTTGCAGGCTTGCTTTCCATGTCTAATATACATGTAGATTCGATCTAAGGTTTTTCATTATTTTTGTTCGATGATGTCTGATACAGACTCTTATAAAGTTCATGTAGGATCATGCAACGGTCGCTTCCTATCTCTAGTCTAACCAGGATCCCTTTCAGCACTCGGGTTGACGATGCCTATTATGCACAAATGAACTCTGGTGTGCAGAAGAGCAATCGCCGATTCAGACAAGTATGGCATTGGATTGCGTCGTACCCTCCTTCTCCAACAAACATGGAAGTGGATGGCATGGGACCCGGTGTTTGTTCGGTATGCGGTATAATCTCCAAGTGTCGTCGGAACTCGGCAGGTGCCCCTCATTTGGCTGGCTGCTGGGTGGACTTATCTCTCCTTGCAGGCCGGAAGTGGCTGTTTCAGACCTTGTTACTAGTAGCTTCTTGCTACTAATTAATAGCGATTCCCTTGTTACTATAAGGCATTGAGTCAATCCTGCAGTCCTAGGGGATTCGAGGCCAAGGGATTCGCTCCAATTCCTCCGAGCCCGGACGTTTCGGAGGCTTCCGGTGAGCCTCACGCGAGCAGTGCGGAGCGGCCAATATCATTTGAAAAACACACCAGGCAGTCAGTCAGTCAGTCAGTCAGTCAGGGTTTTTCGGGTTGTGGCCCTCCACATGGGTATGGTAATGTAATGTAGACTCTTGATCAATCACCCCCCCGATATGAACAGGTTTTTCATGGTTATTTTGCAATCGATGTCTCACAGGGTTGATTCATCAACATTCTACATTACCAGAGGATTCGGGTCAGGGGTCCCATTGGGGCATCCCATCTTCGAATTTGGCTTGGCAGACACTTCACTTCCAGCACCACCCAGTGGACGGACGGTGATTGGATGGAAAGGACAGTGAATCCGGGAAAGTCTATCAACCGCCCGCCTATAGATGGCTGTTCGGGCCACGCCACACCTTTCGCCGGGGGCAGAATGGCTTCTCCATGAGCATGGCACCCTGTCAGTGTCAATGAGATGTCGGATATCCATGGGAGTTGGTAGCAGTTCCAGGCTACAACAAGGTGGCGCAACTCTAATCCTTCCGACACTTGACTTTTCCCTTGGCCGGGAGGGTTTCGATCTCATCCCGACCCCGGGATGGAGGCGGTGTCGGGCGATTTCCTGGGACTTCAGTCGGACTCCAACCTCGTCGAGGCGCAGATTCTGGAATGTGGCAATGACTGGGCTAGGAAGAATCACACGATGGAGTTGTTCCTCTCCAATTTGCTTGTATTTTGCATGCATTTTTGTGTGGGTTGTTTCAGCAGCGACTGCGTCACTCTTCATCGACAGCGTCGCTCTTCATCGACAGCTGCGTCGCTCTCCGTCGCTCTGTGTCGCTCGTGAGGTCGACGCGCTGATGGCGCTGTTGAGCATCCTGGCAAGGAGTCATCCCAGGCCAGCAGGAGTTTGCACCGGATGGCCACCTACAGCAGGCCACAAGCGAGGTTCCCAAGACCAATGTTTTTGGGACTTCTTTGCAGCCACCCGTGCTGGCTTCAACACCCGTGCTGGCTTCAACACATTTCAACACCATCCGCTCGAAAAGACCAGCACATCCAGCGCCGCATGTTCGTGTAGATCTCTTGCATAATGGGGTTGACTGATTCTCTGAAGTGTGATGCAATTTGGGACATTCTGGGACCAATCAGCCAAAATGGGTTCTTTAGAAGGTGGATGTCATCTTCCAGTCTCATGCGCATATATGGATCACACATGATCACAAAAACATGATTCTATTAAAAACCCATCAAAACCCTATAACCACAGCATAATTGAAAAGGCTCTGCCTGTTTGAACCGTGTGAAAGAACCCTCGATGACTTCACTGCCTGGCTTCGCCAGGCAAGCACTGCTGGTGCTTCGTGCCTGGGACCTGCAGGTGGGTCAGTGGGTCGGGTGGATGGAATTCTATGGAGTGTTTCAAGGTTTTTGCACAGAATGTGCCTGTTTTATCCTGTTTTTGAATTATATATGCTGGAGCTTCGAAGCGGCACAGATAGTGGCCTTTTCAGAAAAATGCTGTATATGGTCCATAAAGGAGTTTTTTGATGTTTTTTGTTTGTGACAAGGCGGAAGGCGGCAAATTTCGTGGTAACGAGGTGAGAAACCAAAAAGATTTGGCGTCTTTAGGCGTCCAAACGGCGTTTTTCCTCGTCCATGGATTTTGAGCAATTTTGAGCACATGTTTGCAACTCTTGGAAGGGCATGTTTTTGATTCGGTGTCTTTACTTTTCACTGAAAAATACATCCGGCAAAGATTTGTGCCCTTTGAAGATCAGGTATATATTAATATTACTAGTATAGACGTATATTAGATATATATATATATATATACACACATAGCAACACACACCAGTCAGCCACAGGAAAGTGGGATGCATGTGGTTCTGAGCATGGTGGCTGAGGTTTCTTTGCATTTCGGAAGATGCTGGGCCTTGATCTCAGCTTGTGAGACTTCTTGCCTTATTGGCTGGTGAAAATTCATACAGCAGGCGTTGGTCTCCCATGAACATATAAGCGTAGACTTGAAAAACATACAGTATCTCTAGATATATATGTGGATTCTGCAAACTGCATGAAGCATCAGAGGTGCAAACATCAGGCCCTGCAGGCCAGTGTTGAACCTCAGGATGTGGGGTTTGCAAGTACTACGGCTCGCCAATGTGGCAATCCTTTGATGCATTGCAAGTTCACTACTTCACCCAGCACCTTGGACATCCTTGGACAATGTATCTTCTTTTCACTGACTCCCAATGGGCTCTCAGAGATGTGTCAGTTGGATCTGGTGAAAACTCCTCCCGCTGCTTCTTGTTTCTACTAGCTTCTTGTTACTACTAGCAAGGCACTTGTTACTAGTAGCGATGAACTTGTTTCTAATAGCTTCTTGTTACTACTAGTAAGGCACTTGTTAC